GGTGGAATTTTCTCAAGACAGATTCATCTGCTCATTTTCTCTATGGCTTTTGACAGCTGTAAGATTTCTGCTGACTTTACCAAAAAAAGAAAAAGCACACCAACCTGAAAGTACTAAGGGCCATGTGCAGAAATGCTGAGCGTTTGGGGAAATCCAAAAGGAGACAAAAATGGGAGAAGGTTCCTACCTGAGGAAGCGAGTTGATGGGGAAAGCAGGAGGAACGTTAACTGTGGGACAGAGGGGGAGAAGGAAATCTCGTGTAAGCAGCCATCAGGAGGGTAAAGAAAGCCCAAAGGAGCCACAGATGGAAAGTGCTTGGATTCATATTGCTGAAACTGTGGTTATTTGAATTCATTGGTATGTTCAGTGTGTTAATTAGATGTTATTAAACTCATAGGGACCAGTGGCCCAATACAGCTCCCCCGATGGCTCCCACCATCCACCTCTTCCTCAGATGCCCTTCAGCCATACCCGGGCAATATTTGGGATAGCCACAGCGTCTGAAACTGGTGAATATTTTACATATAAATAGGTATGTAGACGGTAGAAAACTTTCTACGTCACACCTAAGCCGTCAATTTCCAGCTTTTTTTTTTTTCCTTTAATGATTATTATTATTTATTTTACGACTTCTAAAGATCCCGGCGGGGTTGTTTAGGGGTTTATTTGTTTTTTTGTTCAGTTTTGGAGCTCGTTCGGGGTCTCTAGCTGCGGGCGTCACCACTCGCCCTCCCTCCCTCCCTCCCCAAGGGGCTCCCGAGGGGACGGGGCAGCGGCCGGGGCAGCTCCGGGACGGGGCCAGGGGACACCCCCGTCCCCTCCTCCCCGCACCAGGACGGGCCCCAGACACCCCCCGACGTGCAAATCCCTGGGGATTCCCCCCATTCCTGCCGGCGCCGAGGGGGAAAACCGCGTTAAATGGGGGATGCAGCCGCCGGGCTCCGTCCGCCGCGTCGGGGCGGGGAGCCGCCGGGGACGGGGGCTCCGGCAGCGCTCGCCGCCGCCCGTTCTCCCTCCGAGGGGAGCTCCACATGGGCGGCAAGGTGAGCCTCCGGCATCACCACCGGGCCCGGGGCGGGGGGGAAGCGGGCGGGAAGAGGAGGGCGAGGGGCTACGGAGCCCACCCTCCCGGCGGGCTCCGTCAGCGGGCCAGGCGCGGCGAGGGTGGGCGCGGAGTTGGCGGCGGGGTCGCGGGCAGGAGGCGGCGGCGGCGGCGGCGTCTCCGGCGGCTCTTTCTCCTCGCTTCGGCGGAGTTTGCGCCGGACGCGGGGCGGGAGGTGAGAGACCGGTTGGGTGGTGGGTGTTGTCGGTGGGAGTTGGTGTAGCCGAGGGGGCGGTGGGTTAGATAGACCCTTCCCCTCCCCGCCGGTAAACGGGGTGGAGGTTTGTGGGGGGAAAAACTTGTTCCCCGTCGGGTTCCCCCCGGGCCACCCACGTGTGGGGAGCGAGCGGGGGGGGACGAGGCGCGGTGCCGGGGGGACTCCGGGTGAGGGGAGCCGCGCCGCCCCCCTGCTTCCCCTCTCTCTCCTTCCCTTGCCGCAGGTCTCGCTTGCGGGAAGGCGGAACGGAGCGACCCCCCGGAGGGAAGGGGGAAGCGCCTAGCCCCGGGAGAGAAGGGGCTGCCCCGCCGTTTCGCCTCTCTTCTCCTCGCCTCGCCGCCCGGAGGGGAAAGTTGTCTGCGGGGCCGGGCCGGGCGCGATGCCGGGTCGCGGCGCGCCCTGCCTGGGGCTGCTGCTGCTGCTGCGCCTCCTGCTGCTGGGCTGCGGTTGGGCTCAGCAGCCGCCCGACGCCTGCCAGACCTTCTGCCGCTGCCTGGAAGCGGCCAAGACGGTGAAGTGCGTGGACGGGAACCTGACGGCGGTGCCCTCCGACCTCCCGCCTTACGTCCGTACCCTCTTCATCACCGGCAACCGCCTGGCCCGCCTGCCCGCCGGCGCCTTCCCCGCCCAGCGCCTGCCCCACCTCAGCGCCCTCAACCTCAGCGCCAACCACCTGCAGGCCGTGGAGGCCGGCGCCCTGGCCTCCCTGCCCACCCTGCGCCAGCTCGACCTCAGCGGCAACCCCCTGGTCTCCCTCAGCCCGCTGGCCTTCGGGGAGGGCGGCAGCCCGCTGGAGGAGCTGGCCCTGCGCGGGGCTCTGCGCGACCAGGGCGTCCTCCTCAGCCTGGCCGCCATGTTGCAGTCCGGCGCCCTGCGCAACCTCAGCCGCCTGGAGCTGGCCGACAACGGGCTGCTGCTGCTGCCCGCCGGCATGTTCTCTGCCCTGCCTGCCCTGCGGCACCTGGACCTCAGCAACAACTCCCTGGTGGGCCTGCGGAACGTCTCCTTCCAAGGGTTGGGCCAGCTGCAGAGCCTGGACCTCAGCGGCAACTCGCTGGGCGTGCTGAGGAACGGCACCCTGGCCCAGTTCCGCAGCCTGCCCGCCCTCCGGCGCGTCCGCCTGGCCCGCAACACCTGGGTCTGCGACTGCGCCATCGAGGACCTGGTGGCCTGGCTGAAGGAGAGCGACCAGGTGGAGGGCAAGGAAGCCCTGACCTGCGCCTACCCCGAGAAGATGCTGGGCAAAGCCCTGCTGAAGCTCGACAGCTCGGACCTGGACTGCTCCGTGCCTGTAGACCTGCCTTCCCAGCTACAGACTTCCTACGTCTTCCTAGGGATAGTCTTGGCTCTCATCGGGGCCATTTTCCTCCTGGTTTTGTACTTGAACCGAAAAGGAATCAAAAAGTGGATGCACAACATCAGAGATGCCTGTAGGGATCACATGGAGGGCTACCACTACAGGTACGAGATCAACGCCGACCCCAGGTTGACAAACCTCAGCTCCAACTCGGACGTCTGACGACGGGACACGGGGCAGCAGTGCGCAGTAGCTATGCATGAAAAGTAGACTTTTTAAGGCTTTTACCCTCGTGCTTGCTTCCCTCTCCCCAAAGAAACCTCAGATGTGCTCATGATACAAAGAGGGGGGATCATCTGCCTCCCCCTGACGTCAAGTTGGGTTTTGTTTTGAGATGCTGGGCAGCTGCGCATGGCGTGGGGCTGTATGTAGGAAAAAAGCTGCTACTTCTTTTCCTCCTTGCCTGTCTGTACTTGTGGGAAATCTTTCTTTCGAGATCTCAAAAGAACAAAAAAAAAAAAAAACAAAAAAAAGGATTCTCTCTGGTGCTCCGAAGCCACCAGAGTTTATAAAAAAAAATAAAACATATATATTTACCGATGCAGACACCATTCAACAAAAGCTGCCTCAACTTTTTTTTTGGGAAAAAAAAATGTTATGTTCCTCTGTGCCAGTTTTGATCTTGTATATCCGAATTGCGATGACAAGGATTGCATTTCACAGACTACCTTGAGGTTTAAAAAAAACCCCAAGAAACTCTTTTTAACAGCTCCTCTGTTACAAAGAAGGAAACGGAATAGTGAGCATGCACAAATACTTTCTAGTTTTACATGTTAAGAAACTTACAATCTCAGTGAGTCTCTTACTATTTTGTAAAGTTATTTTTTTGATTGCAGTTTACATGAAACGAGAGGGGTTTTTTTTATACAAACTGCATCTAAACTCCATCTGAACTGATAAATTCAATAAACAGTCTTACAAGAACTGTTGTCTTGAAGTTTGCTGTTCGATGAGAAGTGTATGGACATCTAAGCACGTGGATAGCTTTTATAGTCTCTGGAGCAATAGCCCTGCAGTAGTAATCTTAAATCAAATTTTACACCAATGTGTAGCTTAGAGACAGAAGTGTTTGATGATTTTGTGAAATGTGCTGGGAGGATTACACCGAGCAACGACGACGAGAGCAGTTTCACTTGGCACAACCGCCTCCCCGCCCTTCCCCTCCTTGGTCTGCTCTCAAAAAAAACTGCAAAACATCGAGACAGATGCAAGGGTCCACCTTGCTGGGAAGGTACAAGCTGAGAGAATTGACATAAGGTCTTCTCTACCAAATTGAAAAAAAAAAACCAAACTGAAATTGAGTGGTGGAGTTCGTAGGCTAAAGAAAATTTTGCCTGAATTGAATTGTTTATTCTGGAAAAAAAATATATAAAAAAAGCAGGAGACTTTCATGTCCTGAACTAAATTTAATGCAGCTCAGTCATGTAGTGGGCGAGCTTCAGGCTTGTAAATCAATGCAGCATTTACTGAATTAAGTATTTACGGTTCCATTTTAAGCTCTCGGTACTCGGGACGTTCTTTAGTGACCGACATAGAGTAACTTGATGGGACTTTACATTTATCTTAAAAGCTTATAACAGGTGCTTTTCAGTATTGTATGTTACTCATGTTTATTACTTGCTTGGGAATGCATTTTCTTGTAAATAGATAAAGCATGCGAAGAAAAAAACTTCCAAAATGCATCATTTGATATGCAACTCTGATGATAAAGGAAAAAATTAGCAAGAATCTTCCAGTGGGCACCAAGAATTAATGCACTTTTTTCTAATCCATGTATATAGATTCTTAATGAAGCAACTCTACCAACTGTAAAAGCGTGATGTCAATTGGTATCTGTGAGTACATCTGTGGAGCTTTTTCCATGGTCACTATTACTTGAAGCTCTCGAGTGTCTCTAAAATTTTCTTAATTGCTGGCTAGTTTCCTTTGCTTTCAAAAGTGACAGTTTTCTCATAGATAGATGCCTTCGGTAGGAGCTTAGAAATATAAAATATTCCTTAAAGTATCAAAAGAAATATAATCTATTTTGGGCATCGGTATTATTCAAATGCATTTTTCTCGCCTTGTAACTTCAGACAAAGCAAGTAGCACAAGTCAGTTCAGACTAATTTTATATTGCTTTAAATTGGCAATGGTTTTTTTAAAGGTAGTTTTGTACGTTAGCCCTCAAAAATAACAATAAAAAAGAATTAATATGAAGTATACAATTAATATTTTGATAAACCAGTGTATTTTACAATTAATGTAAGTTAAGTGGTAGCCTATTTCTCCTGCTGTGATTTAAATATCTGAGCAATATCTGGTTAACAGCGTAGGAATTAAATGTGTGGACTCTTAAAAAGCAGGCTGCTGGTCTGAGTTTTAGCTGCCCATATTTTAAGAATAGTGTAAAAACCCCAGTGTGAATAACTTATTACTGTGCAACTATGCAAACTCTTCATTCTTGGTATGTATAAGATATTTTATGTAAAAAGCCAGAATTTTGCAATAGCTCTGCAGTGTGCTTTGTTGTAGCGGTCATTTCGGAGGTTATCAACTTGCACTTATTTGTACAGTGCCAAGAGGAGTAGGGATTCATCCTTTTGCTTAAGATGCTCCTGTAATATAATAGATAAAAATAATGTACAAACCAAGCCTTTTCTGGGGCCGTTTCTTGGGTTTTGTTAATGGATACTTTAAAGCAGCTACAGTAAAAGCAATTATCCGCGATGTGTTAATGTAGCAGCCGTGCATTTATAGAGCTGTGACTTTAATTGCACCTCACCAACAGACTATTTGTATAGTGAGCAAGTGTAACTGTTGTATTACACCTATTATTCTGAACATGATGATGATGATTATTTTTGTATCATAGAAAAATCATTGTAATAGAATTTTATCCGAGACCCGGTGACGGCTACTTTGCAGTAATTCTTGCCATTTGCTTAGGTGTGTATTTATTAGGATGTACCAGTCAGCATGTGTCAGTGTTGTGTTGGATAATGTTCTCCTACAGTGTGTGACCAACAGCGAATGCCGCAGTGTTTTGGACAATTTAACCTTAAATCCCCTTCCATAAACAGTGCTTAAAACTTGTTTTCCTTTTCCTATGGCACAATAGGTTCTCAGAAGCCTTTTAAAAAGTAGCTCCCGAAGCGCTTCACAACTTGGTTAAAAAGTCTACGTTTAAAATAACGTTAAGTTTAAGGGTTCTCCTGAAGCACGTTGTAGAATCTTGCTCTGCTTTGACACCTGAAATTTCGATTCGTTTCCATTTCTAGAGCAGCTTAATTAGCGAGGCTGTTTCATTCATTCGTTCCTCAATAAAACACGTGCGGTACTAAATGCCTCTAAAATGTGTTTTCTATACATAAACCCCCCAAAGTTCTGCAGTGACGTGGGCACATCTTCAGAAAATTCCCCAAATCTTTATGCGAGGTAGCTTCATTTTCGATCCTCTGACTTTTTTTTCGTTTTATTCTCAGCAAGCCAGAATATTGCCAATAATGTTTGACATCCCCAAAGTGGTTTGAAGTTTTTGGTAAGAAAAACCTTTGGGTTTTTTCAAGCTTCCAAATGACATTGATGTTCTAGGAGACAAAGTTGAAGGGAGAAGGTTCTGAAGGAAGTGGAGATAACCCTTTCCAATGGGTCAGCCCTGGAAATCCCCCACACTGGCAATAAGAACCATTGCTGATTGATTCTGTCATGGTCTGGTCATGTTTTATGGGTACAGCTCCTAATTTCTTCCTGTTGCTAGAAATAGAAACATTTTGCTAAAAAGTGGAGTCACATCCTATAATACTTGTAACGCAGGTGTTTCCACTGTAAGACTTTTGTGGGGTGTGATAAAAGATTGAATTGAAGATTAAATCAGTGCCCACTGATTTAACAGACCCGTAACTTAATGCTCCTTTATTATATATATTTTTTGGCAAACTTTATTTTTTTATTTTATTTTTTATAAAGACCTTGGCCTGAAATCAAGCAAGGAAAGCCCACCGAGGAAGAGAGAAAGCAGTCTGCTTTGGGGGGGTGTAAGGTGTATCAGATATTTCACACATGCCTAAAAAAAGAGACGTGTCCTTAAGAAGGGCTTTTTTGCTTTCTTGGTGGCTTTAACATTTTAAGTGTTGTCACATCCGTGGAAAACCCTCGCTGTGCCACACGTCATCTGTGGCGTAGGCAAAGCTGGAAATGAGGGCTCACCTTCCTGGTGTCAGCCTGAATAGGAAAAAAGGGAATTATTAAGAAAATCAGAACGGCTCTTTAAACAGTGAATTCACGTTGCGGTTAATAATTTAATCCTTGCAATTATTTATCTTTTTCAAAGTATTCACTAACTAGCTGCTTCTTTCTGACGACAGACTGACAGAACAGCAGATCTGTGTTTTCTAGTAATTATGCATGAAAGCAGCTGAATAAATTAGCAATGTTGTTAGAGTATACGTACAGTGATGAAAACATTAGAAATCTCATGGTCCAGGCTGTATTACCATTCTGGAAATTTTCGATGTGCAAGGAACTGCTGTAACTTTTTCAGATTGAAGTTTTATTTCTTAATTAAAAATGATTTCTGGAAGAAAAATGCAATAAAATATTTACCAGATCGCTTATAAATGTTATACCTTCACCCTGTTGGTTTAATTACTGTAAGTCCTTACGGATATTGAAGTCTTTGCTAAAGGTGCAGTTGTATTCTTTGTAGCTCACGTTGATGATCGTGCTGTGAATTTGCATGACAGAATAGTGAAAAAACAACTTCCATCCCGATAGCCTGATTCATTTCTTTGGAGACAAATTTGGTCAGTGAATATAAGGGATTGTGTTTTAATTGCTCTTGTAATTTCGGACGTGATTGGGTGGCTTTTTGTTTTTTAATATATGCGGTATTGATTTTCAAGTTAGGTGCCAATTCTAAATGTAACCATAATAGATTTTCAGGTTTTTAACGACTAGATCAAACTGTGTGTTTTAAATAAGTCTTCAAATACATATTTGCAGAGTGAAATATAGAGGCAGTGTTATTACTCACGGTGTGGATTTTCTTACTGGGAAGGAACAATATTAAAGGAAAAAGTGCTGCTGAAACAGAGAAGAAAGGGTGAACTCCAGAGGGAAAAAAAAAAAAGCATACTGTCGGCAAACTCTTTTTTTCTTAAATCTGTTTTAATGCAAATATTTAGATTGGAAATTCAAAGGGAAGGAGGACATTTCATAATCTCATAGATAGCTAGTGCAGACTTCTGAAATTTTAATAGCATGGAGTGATTTTTTGGGGGGGGCTGTCCCACCCATAACTTGGTTAGTTTTGTTTCTAAGTTATTTGCTATTGTTTTTTGGTTTTCACATTCTTAGGACTTCTAACAGGGCAGGATGTTTGGCTTTACACTTGACTGATTGCTCTGTCCTAGATTTTATCTGGGGACTGGTCTGCCTTGGTGCCTGTCCGCAGTCTGCTTCACGTATCCCATTTGTTCTGGTAGGAACGTTATCGATGGCACAGCCCGGGGTAGCTTTACGTGAAATCGGGGGCATTTATGCAATAAAGAGCTCATTTGTCAAATTGACATTATCAAATAGGCATTTGAACAGAAGGCAGCGTATATTTTGTGCTGGCAATGTAAAAACATCGAGTGACGGCGGCGAATGTTAGAGTAAGAGACCATTTATTGCAAGAACACTGTAAGCTGACAGGGCTTTGGGGCATTTGAGCAATTTAAGCTTGTTTTGAAGGAGGAAAAAGAAGTAGTTACTACGTCGACAGTTTTCTTTTTCAGGTAGGTGTCTTCATCCCTTCTCCTTGAGGGCTCATGAGCAAACAGTAACCAAATCCTGCAGACACAGATAGATTTGAATCCATTTAAGTCAGTGGCTTTACCCCAGTGCTTTTATGTTTCCCTGTTTCCAGGGTTAGCCCGGAGGGGACTAAGAGCTCTCAAACATCATAAAGGAAGAATTTTTATTCTATATATTATGCATTTTACAGCACACACATATATAATGCAAATCTGGGGGACTGAATAGGAGTGGAGTCTGAGGCACACCAGTCTCTCCAGTACATTTTTTTAGCTAGTTTGGGGGCTTATTTTTCCCCCCCAACACTGGAAATAAGGCCTAAGTGGCTAAATTGAGTAGGTTTGCCTCTCTCTTGCCCCGTGTTGCTGCACACCTAGCGTGGCCATTAGCAATGAGTTAATACCAATTGTTAACTGAGCAGCCAAGTTTTTCCCCAAAGTGGCCACAGTTTGAGGTTTTGCTTTCAAAGTAGCTGAAAGGGGCTTCATTTCCAAAAGTTGTAGAACGGCTTTTGGAAAACTGCACTGGTTTTCTTTTAGGTGAATTGAACTAACCGTGGAAAAAACACATTTTCAGTGTGAAAAGGCAGGTGTCTGGTATATACTTGAGAGACAATATAGATACTTGAAAGAGCTTTTGAAACTCCCTGGTCTTTGCTCCCTCTGTCATTTCTTGGATTCATTGAGATCTCTGTAACACCATCTCTGCAGAATATTCTTCCTCTTCCCAGCTCTTTCATTTAATCATCCCTAATGCAGATGCCTTCTTTCCATCACCTCTGTATTGTGATCAAGCTCGATTACCTCACGTTGGTAAAAAAAAAGTAGAATTCCTATGAAACAAGTCATGCATAAAATCAAATCTTGAATGTTTGTCACTAAGCAGATTCATTAATAAATTCATATCTGTTGTTAGACTTTCATTCATATTTCCCTTTTCCTGTTTGTGCCTTTATCTTTAGTTTTCCATCATACCAGAAAGCTCCTGTGGTAGCCCAGAGGAAATCTCTGATTCCAATTTCCAGCAATGAAAAAGGAGGTCTGTCTTAGAGACGATAGTCTAGAGAGAAAGAAAAAAAAAAACACAAAAACACAACTTGCAGAAACAGCTCTCAAACTTTTCTGACAGGATAATAAAATGTCACTGAAAATAGGTCTGCTGACACGTTTGTCAGAAATGTTACACATGGAGAAAAAAAAGGTAATGCTGAATTTGTGGTCCTGATATATATATATGGTGTTTAACGAGAGCGGGAGATCTCTGTTACAATAAGCTTCGGGTACCTCTGCTCCCATTTCTCCTCCCTGCAGCATCCCCTTCTGCCCCCCCAATATGCTTGAAGAGGATTCAGGTGAGCTTAGGACATGCATTCAGCAGATTGTGGTCATTTGTATAGCTTATTAATTGTATATGAAGCCCCTTATTTTCAGCCACGTAAAGAAATACATTCTAGTACTTAAAATTTTGAATACAGAAACAAACTAGCTGGCATAAGCTGGGTTTCGTAAGTTATCTGTAAATACAAAAAAATAATGCTTTGAATGTGCAAGGAACAGATGTCTTTCAGCAAGCTTGGGTGTAAATTCAGCAGGATTTCCAATTTAATCCAGTAAATGGCAACACTGGAATTTATTGCCAGCAGAGGAATGACTTGTTCCTCATCGTGCCTTTTCCACAAAACAGCACAAAGTGCTTTATCTCTTGGGTTTCCAGGGAGACAGTCACAATCCAGTAGGGGTTACTGTTGTTCTTAATAAAGCTCTTAAGATTTTGTGGTTTTAGCAATTTTTTCTGATCAAAATCACAGAGATGGCAGATAGCATTTGATGAATGACACTGAGTAACATGAATTGATGTGACCTATTTCAAAGACACACAGATGATGCTGTGGTGCACCAGCTTAGAGGAGATGGTACTGGTGCTTCCACCAGCTGGAATCCCTGTTTCAACTGGCAGGAGAAGACTCAAAACTGTTAGTCACTGTAGAGAGCTATACAAGCTCTCCTTATCATTTGACAGTTCATATAGAATCATAGAATTGTTTGAGTTTGAAGGAACCTTAAAGATCATGGAGTTCCCACACACTGCCCTGGGCAGGGACACCTCCCACCAGACCAGGTTGCTCCAAGCCCCATCCAGCCTGGCCTTGAACCCCTCCAGGGATGGGGCAGCTTCTCTGGGCAACCTGGGCCAGGCTCTCACCACCCTCACAGCAAAGAATTTATTTCT